ATCACAGGCTCATGTCAGGCAAATGCAGGATTAAAAGTTAACTGAAGTATAAATTTGTCTTGTATACAAATTGTTTTCCCTGTTTTTGTTCTGTATAGTTTGAGATTATTCAAACTCAAAACAGAAGGCCAAACAGTATAAACAAAGAACCTCACCAAAAAGTTACCAAACTCAAATCAAAATTCTTGCTCACCCTGGGCTAACTCAATTGGGCTTTGAACAACCCGGCCCAAGAGCTCTGCTTTTAGGCTAGGTTAAATCAATATATTAACTCTAGTAAGAACATTGTATATCATTGGTTCAAACAAGTGTTAAGAAAGTAAGTACAATTTTGAAAGAGCAAAGTGCGATACATAATAATAAATCAAATCAAATTAAACTGGTTTGCTTGGTTTTTGATATCGTTCATGTCCTTGGAATTAAAATTTGGGCCTTGAAGTTTAAGGTTAGACAACATCTTACATGTATGTGTAATTAATTACAAGTTTAGAAAGACGGTAGTCTCTGGTTACTTACATTCTTACACCTTCATCTTTAATTTGGAATTGAAAAATATAGGTAGGTGTTAACTGAACACTTGACGAATCATTGTCAATAAAAAATACAAGTTTATCCCAGGGATTTGTGCTTATTTGTTGAAATTATTGGAACACTGACTACTTTTCAGTCATAAATGTAGTCTTCATTATCATCATCCTCCCATCCACTACCTTCCTTGCTATCAGATTCTTCGTTTCCCTCATGATCCAGATCTAAGCATGAAACGTTTGCTGCCACTTCCTGCCTCTCCACGAGTTCAACAGATTTCTTTTCTGTTTGTGTACCTGCTTCTGTAACAGTAATGGACTTGGCCTGTTCAGTCTGCCCTGCTTGTGGTGCTTCAGCCACATCATTTTGCCCTCCTGTTGTCTTGTAGCAAACTTTCTTCACTTTCATCCACAGCTTTATTGCTCTTCTGATTATGTCATCACTCTCCTTGGAAAAGGCATCTGGGCCATTTGTTGACATCTGCAGAAAGGAATTAAGCAGATCATTCTTTAAACGACTTTGAAGCCTTGACTTTATTAACTTGAGTTTGCTTGCACCCATTTCAGACCATGTATTAGAAACAGGCAATGCCAAGGCAACTTCTGCAATATTTGAAACACAGGGATACAGTGCTCCAAGGGCACATTGCTGGAAAATTTGTGGTCCCTTCCTTGATAGCTCTAGGAATTTGCTTCTTCAGTCTAGGATGTCATATTTTAACTACCACCATTCAGCTTTCACTCTCTCATGTTAATCTGCATCCTCAGGGAAGAAGTGCTAGTCAGTCTCCACAAGGCCATATGACTTTACATCACCAGCTTAGGGCATCAACAAAGGGTCAAATATAGACGCTGCCCTGCTGTCAACTGGTAAAGATTCCTTGAGCTGGTCATCCATATTTCTCACTTGCACATCACGGTAGTTCACTAACATTCTCTTTATGTCCTCCATAACTCTGTTGGGAACTTCATAATCAAGTGGATCTGTTTCTTTCAGCTTTTCTGTGGCAGATTTAAAGTCTTCAATTGGACTTTGAGATGGTTGCATCCCTTTCAAGGCACCCATTTAAAAATCCAGACATTGTTTCATGTGGCTGAAATTGTCCACTGACCTTTGGAAAGCTTTGGAGACATATGAAAGTCTAGGCAGAACAGAACATAGAATGTACATTGTACTAAGAAACTCTGCAGTATTCATGTGAAGGGTTTGGATGATAGCTGGGTAGTTTTCCACAGTTTATCTGATAGCAGTGTCTGTGGAGAGCCCCTGTGTTTTGCATGCCTTTTTAATATTCTTAGTGGTCATCTTCACATTTGACGGGAGCTGATGGTTGCATGTGTTCAACTGAATCTTCCTAAACGCTGCCATATTCTGGTTTGAATACTGAAACAGCTTCCAGAGTTCAGTCAGATAGGTTGTCACTTTCTCTCAGCTAGTGCAAACTGATGACAGACACAATTAACAACAATTACAGAAGGTACAATGGCCTTTAATTTGGCTACTACACCGTTGTTGTATCCTGACACCATGCCACTGACCTTGGTCACATTAAGACCCAGTTAATTTAGTCTCTTACAAAACACTTGAAACAGTGTTTCAGCATTGACACTGTAGCTGTCACTCTGATCAAGGACATTTTCCACTGAGAAGCTTTGTCTTTACTTTCTCTTTTTTCCTGCAGTATAGTGGAACCCTCTTATTACGACCACCTTCAGGCCATGGAAAATTGGGCGCATCAACAGGGTGGTTGTATTAAAGGGGTTCTTTAAATAAGAAAATGACTGACTGAGCTTTTTTACGGGCCAGACTAAAGTGGCCATAATAACAAGGTGGTCGCATTAACTGCTGATCTGTGCTAAAATCCATAACTTCACAACCAAGATGTTAAGGTAACATGATGTTTGTTTGCAATGCAATGTTTTACCAGGCAGTACATTGCATAAAAGGTGTTGAAGTCTACTTCATCTTCAATTTCTGTAGCACAGTCTGATTGATGCTGGAGGTAGGATACACAATTCAGCAGTTCTCCTGATACTGCTTTTAGGTGTGCCCTGCATGCTACATGACTCTTAAGGAATTGCTCCTTTATCCTCACAGTGAATTTAACCTCTTTGTTCTGAAGATTTCCTTTTGGTGCTTCTTCACTGAAGGCAACAAAACCATTCCCCCTAAGTATACACAGGCCAAAACATGGCAGTTTGCTGACAGAAATATATTGTTTTGTTTCCAAGCTAACTGTGATGGAACTTTTCCCTGTTTCTTTTGACTTTAATTCTGTCATGCTCTTCATTGGAGATGTAAGTACAAAGCCTTTGCATTTACAGCTTTGGAAGAGGGAGCATCAGGGAACTGCTTGTAGATCTCTGTAATCTGGCCTTGGGCAGATGTTTTTTCAAATTGGCTTTTTCATATCGAGGCTGGGTTGATGACCCAGTTGTTGGCTGCAGTGGTTGCGATCTTGTTTCTGAAGTTTTTGTTGCTGGAGCTGTTGTTTTTGGAGTTGATGTCTCTGAAGTTGCTATTTCAGAATTTGTTTTTCTCACTTCAGTTTCGTTTGGGGTTTTGTCACCTAAACAATGAAACCACTTCATGTCACCTACGTGGCAATTTTTCAAACACTTAAACAAATTATGTTTACATGAACACCGAAACATTTGCTTTATGTGGTAGGCCTCCGTCAGTCAGGGTTGACCATCGGTAGCATCCTAGTTGTCTGCTTGGCTGGAGCACTGAAGTCTGGCTGTAGAGGCCGATGCGGGAGTGTCAGTCTCTGTTGCAGAGGCTGCATTTGTGTTCTGTCTCTGGTCTGTCAAGGCTGTCGCTTTGTTTTCTGCGGACCCACCTCTCTGTGGCGGCTTGTGTCAGCTTCTCCCCTGATTTGAGGTGTTTGGTCAGGGCTTCTCTCCACTTGGACCAGTTGGCTGCCAGGCTCTCCCAGNGATTGTTTCGCTGAGCTCTGACCAATACTTGTTGGCACAGTGTCTGGCAGTTTGCTGAGCTTTGCTCCTGGCAGCCCGGAGAATCTGCAGGTTTCTCTCGCTGGGAGACCACCTATACTCCGCTAGAGCGGTGCACTTGGCTTCAATGACGGGAGTCATCTCGGCAGACTTGGCTTCAAACCAGTGGTGTGACTTCAGGGTCTTTCTCCCAAAGGTGGCCAACGCAGTGGAGTGCATGGTATCCAGTAGGGTAGCCCACTTCTCCGTGGCAGAGTCTCCGGTCTGTGAGGTTTTCAGTTCACTCTCAAACCCCCCCAGCAAACTGCTCCACAAGGTCTGGCTGGCTCAACTTGCTGACATCAATGCAAGGATTCCCTTGCTTCTTGCTGCGGTGATACCTCTTGGGCTGGAGCTTGATCTTGCAGCACACCAAGGAGTGGTCTGTATCGCAGTCCGCGCTGTGATAAGAGCGTGTGTGGAGAACTTTCTTAATGGCGGTTTGTCTGACCAGAATGAGATCCAGCTGGTGCCAGTGTTTTGAGCGTGGGTGTCTCCAGGAGACCTTATGCTGGGGCTCCCCTGGGGCTTTATGTAAGCTGTAGGGATTGCCAGTATTTTTTGAATTAAGTCTTTCATTACTCAGAAGTGACAATTTGTTTCTTGATTTCTGTGTTGATGTTGATACAGTGTGCAAAAATAATTATAAAGATGAGTGATTTATGACGATTGCTTTCAAATCATAATTTTTTGTTAACGTGATAATTTATCATAGTAAATTTATCATAGTAAGTTATCATAGTGATAATTTATGGTAGATCTTGTTCAGAAAAAAAATATGTAAATGAGTTCGCTACTGCTTGATAAAACTTGATAATGATACATCTGATTACATTATATGATTACCTGGAATGTCCTTTTTCTTTTGATCTTTGACACTGCAAGCTGCCACATCTCAGCTAGACTAGGCTGTCATTTTTCTGCCATTTTGCCCCATGTTTGAATATGGAATATGTTGTCTAATAGAGTAGTTTCCAGAAACTGCTGCTTACCTATTATTCTGAGCCTGTTTACCTTGCTGTCATTTAATCAACATTGATGTCTGCAATGCAAGTAGATCGAAGCAATGTTCCTGTAAAATCCTTAGGGAAACTTTCAAGTCTATTTACTCACAAACTCCGTGGAAACTAGGCTCCTTTGAGAAAACTTTATTTATTTCAGAATTTAGCGAGGGAAATTAGGTGTCGCAAATGGAAAAGTTGCCAGTGGATGCAATGGTCGATGGCTGGTTTGGCTAGTTTTGAAAACACTAATTCGATCGTAAGGGAAAGTCTTCGTGGTTTTCCCTTTTCAGTCTGACATGATGTTAGTGATAACTTAGGGGCGATGAAGGAGCGGTAAGCACGAGTTCAAATTTGATCAAAATATAATTTTTTTTACACTTTATTTCAAACACAT